GGCTCCTGCAATTTTATGTGCTTCCACCTTTATGGTTAGGGTCTCGGTATGAAAACTAACCTTCCTAAGTCAGGAGCGTAATTTGAATTTCGCGTGGAGCAACGTATTACCCCAGAAGTGCTCTCTAGGGTTAATTGTATACAACATTTTTATATGGGTAAGTAATTATTATATTCTAAAACTTGCATATTAATGATAAGAACTCAATTATTTATATGTGCTGTAAATAGGTAAGGTAAATGCACCTATTTGCGTCCATGTAAGGGTTATAGCAGAATAGAAGACCAATATACGAGTACAATCTATTCCAATTTGATTAAAAATCATTACTGATTGAAAAATATATATTTCTTTATGGAAAAAAGCTTTTGTTTTGACAAATTGCTACATATTGCACCGGAAAATTCTAAAATTACGCGAAGGTATTATTGTACATCGTTGCGTCCGCCTGATTAGTTTTCGAACGTATTTGCGTCCATTGCGTTGCCCCCTTTGCGTCAGGACGCAAACTAGTAGAACAAACTAGTAGATTTGACTGCACTATTTTGCGTCCGTCATGGTCATGGATAAAACGAATATGTATTGAATGTTTTCGGTCGCAAATAGAAACAGAATGTGTAGGGCCCCCATTTGCGTCTGCTCTTCAGAGGTTATGGTGGACTTGAATTATTCTGATAAAACTTATGTTACTTTATAAGTTGTGCCGCAGAAAAAAACAGTGCACATCGAAAAAGTGATATTTTTCGCATCATTCACGACAATTTTTAGCATGAATACACTGACGATTCAATTACTTTGAATATTTGAAGCAACCAGACGCACGCATGTACATTAGGATGTTGTTGCGTTGCTTTGCTACTATTGTGTGAAATTAATAATTTACTGACCTTTCGTGTGATGAAATCACACGTTTTGAGTAGCTTGTGGAGCTGGATTGCTTAAAACACTTGGACTTACTTCGTGATTATTTCTCAGGATCCGCAACAACGATAAAAATGACAGTCACTTTCACCATCCGATCTACTAAGAATTTGCCCTCAGAGCACGCGTATACACAGATGGTCATTCACGGCGCGCACTATGAAAGTTGAAACCGTGTTATATTTTTTTAATTTCAATGAAACACATTTTAAAATAGACGCAATTATAGAATATTGTCTATAGAATGAAATAAATATTCTTCATGAATCAATAAGTGTGGATATTAATTGATTTTATTACTTTTTAATCAGATTCGGACGCAAATAGGTGCACGGACGCAAATAGGTGCATTTACCTTAGCTGCTGATTCAAGATCTATTTTTTGACCTATATAAGAGAGAGATTTGCAGAAGAAAATAAATATACCAAAGTATTAAGGATCAAACATATTCTTGATGTACTCGGGCCGCGAGGCTGAGCAATATTCTAAGGAAAGTATTATACAAGATACAAAGATTGGACAATATCTTCCCTTGTCTTTCATTGACAATTATCTGAGTTTTGAAGATATGCTAAAAACTGATCAAAGAGCTTTCATGCAAGTTGTAAGTAAAGCTGCTTATCACAATTATAATTAATTATATAAACATTTACAAATGACATTTCCGGTTAATAGTTACATAATCGTAGTAGATATAAATTTACACAATAAAATCAAACTTTGAAAATCCTCTCCCTCCTTCTCTCTCTCCCTCCCTTTTCTTTCCCTTTTTTTCCCTTTCTCTCCAAGAGTAGTAAATATAATATTTGCAATTTAGAGTCGACAAAGAGATCACCAGGACTTGTAATTTTTACTGATTTTTTGGTATTATTTTCAATGTAGTGCCTATAGCAAAGATAGTAATTGCGCATTATCTGTATCTACTATGTTTATAGTTATTTTGATTGTGGCGTAACATATGCATATATTTTTTGTTTATGACAATTTATTAGATGAAAAAATAGATGAAAAACTCTAAAAGTGTCAGTAACATACAGACAAAATCATCCAAACGTCATATCAAATAAGTACTAACGCATTCACACTACATTGTTCAAGTCTTTTATGCATATAGATCTTCTATATATAAATGTGTGTTGCTTTGTTTTACCATATTTAGCAGAAAGTTTAAGTATTTATATATAAAAATCTTTTTGCAAACTTTTCATATATTTTTAAGCTTTTAAATTTAATTGAAGACAGTAATATTTTTTTACAATTTTCTTTAACGGAGCAAACATACTGATAATATATAAAAATTGTACAATTTTTGTAACAGATAAATATTTACACTGACAGCTCGAGATCTTTTACTTTGAAACTTTTTAATCATTTTTGTGATATATTGAGCAAATGCTCTAATTGATTTACACCTATTTTTATTATGTAAAAGCATTTGTAATTCTATGCAATCAATACGATATATGTAAACTTTCTAAAAGAAAGTAGAATTTTGTCGGTAAAGTTTTTAAATATGGTATGTCGTATGCCCTTCAAAAATCAAAATGTATTTGTATTAATCTCTATAATGTATTCAACTGTATGTTTTATGTATAAAACGATCAAATAGAATCTTGAGGAGGAGCACCCAATGCGTCCAAAACCAAAAATAGTTACTCTGACTCTTAATCTTACAAACTTATATCTATAATATATGTCCTTTAATATGTTCTATAATATCCTATAATATGTGTTATTATATTTTAAAAGTTTTCTGAACTATTTTCCTTGCAATTTATAATAATATACTGTATTATATAGGATTACAAGTATAAATTTTTCAGGTAAACAAGGTTATGTTAATTGGAGGGAAACATGAAAAGGATTTTATTAGAAGAAGTTTGAGTGCTACATTTTCTGATGACAGCCTCCATGTGTTCATGGACTGGCCAAAAAAATAATTATAAAATTGGAGATACGCGCACAATTCTGAGCATTAAAAGTAAGTAATTTTTTAAGAGATGTATATATTACTTGCAGTATTAAATGCTATGTTTTATGTCTCAGAATTTATTAAAATTGTCTCCTATTTTTTTGTGGCAATTATCGTTAAAAAGCAGAACACACATACACGTTAAAAATTCTTACGAAATAAAAGAAAAATAATATATATCCATAAACTAATACTTTTGATCGATTTAGTATATATGTAAACGATTCCGGAAACTTTTGTGTTATTTCAATAATTATTATAAGTTTTAATTGCTGTTAAATTAACATTATTTATTTCTTTCATCTAACAATAAACTATATTGAATTTTTCTTATTCCAGAAGCTTTTAGAGCAATATTCCCTCGGAATACAGAAAAAGATTTTGAACACTTTATAATGGAGTGGTTCAGATTCGCAAACGTCCGTAAGGAAAAAAAAACATTAAAAAGGTAATGTAATGTATTTCGGTATATACTCTCCATAAAATAAAATCATTATAGTTTGTCGCGTTATAATTTATAAGTAACTTTTTCACTAATTTAATTCTACTTTTATTTTTCAGGAAGTGATAAATATATTATTTTACTTGCGTAGCTCCGCGTGAGTGATTATTATAGTAACAAATTTTTTTATTTGAAAGATGAGTTTTATCCCAAAACCTTCCGCTAGGATCAGTGATTTTCACCAAAGATATTATTGTGATAAACTGAAAACTGCAATATATGGTATATATATATTATTTTTATATAAATAAAACTTTTTTATGATAATTAGTAAATTATTCCCCAATTGATTGCAAATTAGTATATAACAGGCCTGGGCAACTTCAAGCTCCGGAGCCACGACACTCTTCTACTTTCCGTGGATAGAAAAGAAGTGTCGTGGTTCTGGAGCTCAAAGTTGTCCAAGCCTGGTCTATAAAAGCAATCTAAATATTAATTAGACAATAAATATTGAGGTATTTTATTACTATTGCATATTTATTGAAAACATGTTGCCTGTAATAGAAATAAAACATCAATAAGAACTTTAAATAAATGTTAGAATTAATATTACGGTAATTTTAATATAATATTGTAATAAAATTGATAGTACGTTTAAATTTTTATCTCAACAACATTACAGGAATGATAGAAAAACCTTAGCGCAATGTTATTTGCAACGTTATGGCACTCCCATTTCAACATTACTGAAATTTCGGAATCGTGGTCAAAGTATGTTCATAATGGTGTTCTATACAACATTAAGAACTACATATTTAACAACATTACAAGTTCTAGAATATCGTTGCAATAACATTTGCTTACTGGGAGTGTACAATCATATATTGTAAAATCATATATTGTATTGTTTGTTTGCTTCGTTACTAAAGCACATATAGAATTAGTTTACGATTGCACTGCGGAAACGTTTTTGCACGCGCTGAAACAATTTATATCAAGGCGTGGAAAACCGGGTGACATATACTCGGATAATGGCACAAACTTTGTTGGCGGAAATAAAGAATTAAAAGAGTTGACCAATTTATTATATTCACAACAATTTAAAATAAGATTGTGTCTAAATTGTCTGTTAACCAGGTAAACTGGCATTTTTTTCCTTCTAGTGCATTTCATTTTGGAGGTATTTGGGAGCCCGAAACTTTGGTGGAAAGGTCCAAATTGATTGTCTTCTAATAGTTATCCGTATAAAAAAACTAAAGCTTTAAAATCAATTAAATATCATCTGAAACGAATAGTAGGAAATGCGTTATTAACATATGAATGAATGTATACTGTATTGACCCAAATTGAATCATGTCTTAATTCTCGACCTATTACAGTAATATCCAGTGATCCAAATAATCTTTGTGCCTTAACACCAGACCATTTTTTTATTAGTAGTCTACCCGGCCCAGGCTTTGCCTGAGCCAAATCTCACAGAAATTAATGAGCATAGATTTTCTCGATGGCAAAGAGTTCAATCAATGGTTTAACACTTCTGGAAAAGATGGTCTACAGAATATTTGACGCAGTTGCATCAAAAGACGAAGTAGAGGACGATAAAATTTTTCTCATCTCTTGCCGGACGAATTGTGGTATTATGGGAGGACCACACTCCACCCCTGTGTTGGAAACTAGCAAAAATTATTGACATTTATCCTGGAAAGGATCAATTGGTTCGAGTCCTTACATTAAAGACAAAGAACGGGATAATTAAGAGGTCAATGAGCAAAGTCAGTCTGCCACCGCAGTACAAAACTCATGTAATTGAGTAGAAGAATGTATTAATCCCTTCGGGATTGTAAAATTTGACTCATTTTTGACTGTTTAATCAAAATCTGTTAATTCTAAAATTTATATTTATATCAAGTTTCTATAGACTAATGTTAATTCAATTGTATAAGTCAACGCATATTATAGTTGTATTGTAACATATTCTTGTCATTTAACGTTGTATAAGCCAAGTCTAATTATTACATGATATGTATTTTTTATTCTAATTGAAACTAAGGTTTTAATGATGGGCGGTATATTTGATCTATATTATCGACAACGTTAGAATTAGGCAGTGCCTATTCGTATTGTCATCATTATACGGAATTCAGTGTTTGTCAACCTCTCGCCTCTCGCTCCGTTGACTGCTATAATAAAGTGACAAACATAGAGATATTTAGAGAGTTATTCCTACATATCGGCGTTTTCATTTCCTCACTCAAGGAAATAACACCATGACTCCTATAATCCTATAATATTTTTATCATATTTAGTTTAACGATTGATAATCTAATATTTGTAATTATTAATAAAAAATATATTAAAATAATTGTCTTTTTATACAAATTGTTTGATTCGAAAGAAGGTAAAATTTTCAGTAAACTCATAACAAGTACTCGAACATATTTGATTCAGGTTCGAGTCTACTTGGAAATAATAGAGGAAGTGCGAGTATACTCTAAGCCTGTTTTAAGATAACTTTACAACCGTTAAAGATAACTAAAGTTTTCCTATAATGAGTTGTAATTCCAAATGTTTGTCATAACGTGTTTTTCGCCAATTTCGTTTATTTATAGTAAATTTAATTTTATATCAAATTTTACGAATGTAGATTTTGGAAGGGTAATGTGAGATATGTCGGGTAATGCGGAACACCTTATTACTCTTACAAGAACATAATTTTTCTCTTAAGTATTTTGGTACATATTAATAATCAAATAGTATAGGTACGAATGTCTCGAAGAGAAGGAAAACGCAAATTAGTCGAGCGAGGTGGGTTCGACTTGCGCGAATAATGCCTCGATTATTAAACATTATTAGTCTTAAGGTAAAAAAGAAAGATTTTTGTTATAATGTTATGAAAGATTGTTGTTTGTTGGACGGAAAACGTTGCTCATTTAAAGTTGATACGGGCTCTGATGTTTCAATTGTTAGTAGTAAATTGATAGGAAAGAATAAAGAAAGGATTGAATTTGAGAATCATAATCTAAGACAAGGTATCCTACTGGAGAAAGTCATTTAAATTTAAAGTTTTTGTATGTTCAGATCGGAAAATATTCTCTGAAGATGCCAATGTTTATAACGGAGATTAGTGACGAATGTTTGTTGGGCGTAGATTTTCTCGAGATGGTAATTTGAAAAACATTTTCGAGTCTTCTCTGGGAAATTTAGAATTTAAAGAGAAAAAGTTTTGCAATTGCTCCCGAGTGGTAGACTCTTCTGAAAAAGTTTCGTTCTTTTTAAAAAAACTCTATATAAATAATTTTAAAAACCTCAATGAAGCACAAACGTTTTTCTTGTTTTTATTTTTTTTAAATAAATATCAGGATGTGTTTTCCGATAAGATTATTGCAGGAAATTGTGATATTGTTTGTCATAACATAAATGTGAAAGATTCCTCCCCAATAAAGCAGGTCCTTCGTCACATTCTAATCTAAATGCGTAGCGAAGTGAGCCAAATAATATATGAGGAAACAGGGGGTAATTGAGGAATTCCAAAGCCCTTAGTTTTGCTGGTTGTCTTGGTGAGAAAGAAGGACGTATTAATAAGATTTTGCGTGGACTATAGAAAGTTAAATGCTGTTACCAAAAAAGATTCCTATTCTCTTCCTAGGATTGACGACATCTTTGATCAACTCGCAGATAACTCCTTGGTTTTCTATTCTGGATCTAAAAAGCGGGTACTAGCAGATAAAAATTTGCATGGAAAACCGCAAGAAGATCGTTTTCTCCATCGTTAGCGGATTATGGCAATTCACCGCCTTTCGGTTTGTGCAATGCCTCCGCGATCATTCGAGCGCTTAATGGAAATGGTCTTAAAAAAATTTTGTTAAAAGATCTGCTTATATATATATATATAGTTTATTTAGATGATGTGATCATTTTAAGGAAGAGTTTTTCAAAAAGGCTTGAAAATTTAAAAAAGATTTTTCAACAATTTCGTAAAGTAAACTTAAAAATAAATCCAAAGAAATGTATTCTCTTTGAAAGGAATGTTAACTATTTGGGGCATATAGTCTCGGCAGAGGGTGTGATTACAGACCTCGAGCGGTGAAAAACTGGCCAGTATCGCATAATAAAAAACAATTACGGAGTTTTCTAGGATTTTGTTCCTATATTACTGCAGATTTGTAAAGGGGTTTTCTTTCTTTGCAAAACCTCTATACTCACTTACAGAAAATTGTTCGAATTTGGGGAGAGAAATGCTAAGAGGTTTTCGAGAATCGGATTTTATCTTCTACTCCGGATTTTATCTTTTCCCGACGTCTATAATAATAATTATTATATTATTGTATACATTTATTATATTATAATTTATTACAAACTCTAATTTTTGGGCTTTTTGTAACATAAAATTTTACATTACAAATATACGTAACACATGTAACATTTAAAACTTTTACTCATAATGATATATATATATAGGGTGTCCGTAAATCGTGGGGACTTTTCTCGTATTTAGATAGAACGAGCCAAACTGAGTCGAAAAGTCTTGTACCATTTTGCAATTTTCTCAATAGTTTATGAGTTATTAATAATTAAAAATCGCCGTATTGGCCCGGCCCATCGCCAAATCCAAGCGCGCCGTGAGATACGACCGCCCCGCGGTCCGCGCGCGGGCAGTTGTTTACAACAAGCGGCGGCGATCACGCACGAGCGGCGCGTAACGCCGGGCCCCCGTTCTAAGCGATGATAGTAAAATTTTCTAACGACATAGAAAATTTTTTTGTGCGCACGTATGTACATACGTGTGTACATGCATACACAAGAAAATATCAATTCTACTGCTTAAAAAAGCGATTACTCAATTTACTTTTTTCTTTTAATAAGTAACGGTTGTCTTTAAGAAAGAATATTTTCTTGATAATAGTTATAAAATGTACAAATTTTAGAAAGAGTCTTTATCATGTACTCGAAAGAAGAATTTATACTCCTTCAAGAAGCATAATAAAATTCTATCAAAGAAAGTTAAAAAAAATAAATAACGTAATATGAGGAACCTCGAGATTAAAATAGGAGAAGTCAAAACTATGAGGGTCAGACGCAGATCACAGTGCGTAATATCAGAAATAACTGATTTATTCGTCATTTTGATACATTACATCGATCCGTACGTTTCGGTTCAGTTTTGAGCCATCTTCAGCGGTAGTTACAGAAATTGAGTTACACGTTCTCCGTACCATATGGCGAATTTACTGATTCAAAGTATTAGAAACATAGGCCAATAGATCCATATCCGCAAATTTGTTCAATTAATGTCGAGATATTAAAAAGATTCTTTAGGAAACTCACCATTCGGTCTGAAAAACGTGGAATACAGAGCCATGTACATAATGAATACTCTGTGCGAGAAGACTTGACGATCTTATCGACACGACACACAGCAATGACATGAAAGGTCCTGCAAGAAGAGGCATGTCGTAGGTCAACACACCGACGAGAATTATAACAAAGATACGATTTGACACCGTCACAATATTGCACGTATCAATAGTAAAACCCCGATT